CTGCTATAAAGACATGCACACGTATGTTTATTGTGGCACTATTCACAATAACAAACACTTGGAACCAACCCAAATGTCCATCAATGATAGATTGGATAAAGAAAATGTGGCACATATACACCCTGGAATACTATGCAGCCATAAAAAAGGATGAGTTCATGTCCTTTGTAGGGACATGGATGTAGCTGGAAACCATCATTCTGAGCAAACTATTGCAAGGACAGAAAACCAAACACCAGATATTCTCACTCATAGGTGGGGATTGAACAATAAGAACACTTGGACACAGGGTGGGGAACATCACACACCAGGGCCTGTCATGGGATGGGGGAGGGGAGAGGGATAGCGCTAAGAGAAATCCCTAATGTAAATGACAAGTTAATGGGTGCAGCACACCAACATGGCACATGTATACATATGTAAGAAACCTGCACGTCGTGCATGTGTTCCCTAGAACTTAAAGTATTTTAAAAAATCATATAAATCAATTTTAGATGAAGTAGTATAAAAACAGGAAAGAACTGAAATATGCATGTTAAACTTTTATTTTGTAATGCATTCTGTGGTTATGACAGTTTTAGTTATGAACACAGTATTTTTGAAAGCTACTTTAAGAACAGAAACTATCAGATTAAAATGGATAGGATTTAGAAATATGTATCTTAGGGATACCTTTAAGAAAAGGCAAATGTATTTGAAAAGAAGACTACTATACTTACATTATTAAGCTTTTGAAATTAATATATCATCTCTTTTTTTAGGCTTTTTGGTTTTTTACTTTATGTAGTCTCTTAGGATCCCAAAGTTCAGTTAGAGGACCCAAATAAAAGACATGAAAAAAATAGAAATGCAAAGTTTATTTAACAAGGATTGATTTATTAAAAATTAATCACTTTTTAAAGTTTTTGAAAAATGTCTAATATAATAAAGCTTTCTTGTAATGAGAACACAAAAAGCAGAATAGCTTATATCTGTTTATTCCCTGTTGGAAATTCTGAAAGGGGTCTTTTTGTGTCTACATGTGTTAGATTAACAAAAGCTAGCATACCTCTACACTTTTGCAGAGAAATTTTTAGGTGTAAGATTTCAATCTTGAATAGAAATTGATATTGTCATTAACACCAAAAAAATATATATATAAGGAAAATTAGTTTTAATGGAATTTCTTAGAATAAGCATATTTCAAATGAACACGTGTAATTTTCCCAAAGTGAACCTATCTTAAATAAGTAAAGGTTTTAAACAGAGCTTGGAAAATTCTCGAGAATTATCAACAGAATTCCTATACTGGGACAAAGGTTGACTTTCTAAAAGTCTATGATTTTCTAAGGAGTTCATTCATTTAACAAAAATGTTTTGAACACCTACTATGTACCAATTTTTCTGCAGGAATCAGAATTAACCAGATTACAAGCCAAAATTTCTGGACATGAAAAGGCAGAAGACACCAAGTTTCTACCAGGCCCATTCACATCTCCAACAGAAATTATGCCTGATGTTCAAGATCCAAAATTTGCTAAACATTTTCACACATCTTTTTCCAAGTGTACAAAATTACGTCGCTCTATTAGTGCCAGTGATCTTACTTTCAAAACTCATGGTGATGAAGATCTTTCTGAAGAATTACTACAGGACTTGAAGAAAATGCAATTAGAACAGCCTTCAACATCAGAAGAAAGCCGTAAGAATCTGACTTACACCCAACCAGACTCATTTAAACCTCTCACGTATAACCTAGAAGATGATAGTTCTGAGAGTAATGACTTTAGCACGCTTAGTGGGATGCTAAGGTACATAAACAAAGAAGTAAGACTATTAAAAAAGTCTTCTATGCAGACAGGTGCTGGTTTAACTCAGGTATGTATTTTATATACTGTAAGTTGTAATGTTTGTTTCCAAAACATATCATTTTGTTACTTGGAAGAAAATTCATGTATTTAAATGAAAAACTACTAATATTTGAAAAAGGAAGATTTTACATTTTAAACATTAAGTAAAATTAATACCAAAAGACATTTTCTCTAGGTCATGGTGTGAGATAATAGGGGGAGATAACAGGGGGAAAGAGAGAGGCAAAGGGAGACAGAACAGGAAGTAGAATGAAAAATAGGTAGATAGACATGGAAGTGCTTAAAAATTAAAAAAAAAAACTGAAAAAAAGAAAAATGGGAAGAAGAAACATGCAATGAGAGGAATCCAGAGAAAGTAGGTTCTGAGGTGAATGTTCTCATAACTTCGTCATAATTTACTGTTCACTTGGGCTCAGTATGTCAGAATAAGTTATTGCTGGCTATCACTGTCTTTGGAAAGTTGATTTACTGATTAGCCATTATTTAAAAGTATGAATAAGTCCAGGGTTCCTTATAATTTTTCACCCTAAAGTATTTATGTTCATCTTTCCTTCTTTTATCCCTTTTCTCTTTAAAAGAAAGATACATCCCTCTTCTTTTTTAGAGAGAACCTCTTGAACATGTACTTTCAAGCCTTTAATATGCTTGCCTGTTTTGCTTCTCTGCTTCCTGATTTAATATGTATCTTCAAGCTTCTTTATTTACCTCTTCCTTTCATTTCCAGACATCTTAAAGTCATACCCACTCTAAGCTGGGTGCAGTGGCACATGCCCGCAATCCCAGCTACCTCGGAGGCTGAGGCAGGAGGATTATGTGAGGGCAGGAGTTTGAGACCAGTATGGGCAACATGGCGAGACCCCATCTCAAAAAAAAAAAAATTTTATTCATTCTATTTCTCCATTGTTGTTACCTCCTTACTACCCTTCCTACTGTGTAACTTACTGTATTTGTCTCTTGAATATTAAATTTACTGTTTTCTTGAAAGTCACAAAAAAACCTCATTGTATAATACACAAATTTAGTATCCTCTTTTCAGCTTTTGTAGATTTAACTGTCCATTGCCCGTTTTGATATTTTCTCTTCTCTTGACTTTCATGATTTAATATTTTTCTGGTCCTCTTCTTATTCTGAACTAACTACTTTCTCACTTTTCTGCTCCTCGTATTCCTTATGTTCCACAATATAGGATTTAATCTGTAGTTTGCATATGGAAATAAAGAATCTCCTTTAGATAATGTTAGCTTTTTAAAAAATGCCTAACATCATTTTCAAACACATCAAGATAGCTTTGGTGGCCTGAACAGTTAAAAAAATTTTTTTTTGTAATAGATCCAAGACAAAGAAAAATTGTTGAATGAGGTTTTCTTCATAATACTTATTTTTGCCTGGCATTTAAGTATATGTCTATCTACTTGTTTATTGATTGTCTCCCCCACTGAAAATGTAAGCTCTGTGTGGACAGGGTATGGTCATTTCGCTTATTTCTATATTTCCAGTGCCTGGTATATAGTAGATGCTGAATAAATATTTATGAATGAATCAAATGGCTAAATAAATTATATACAGTAAATGTAACTGTAGTTTTAAATGCTAGATTTTATCAGGTTGTGCTGGCCAAAATTTCACTTTTAGCATATTACTTTTAGCATGCAAGAAGTTAAAGATTCAGAAAAGGCAACTGAGAAATAATCAGTGAAATAGAAGAGAAATTAGGAGAGTATAATGTTTCACAATGTATTTCAAGGAGGGTGAGATCAATTGTGTCCAGTGTTGCTAAGTAAAGTGAAGATTGATAATTGACTATCATATTTGGTAATGTTGAGGCTTTTATGACCTTCATAAGACTGGCTTTAGAGTAACAATGGGAATGAAAGCCTGATGTAGAGTGGGTTTAGCATAGAATGGAAAGAGGAAATAGAAACACCAAGAATAGACAACTCTTTGGATAAAGAGTAAAGCAGAGAAATGAGGGAGATGTGATGTCAAGGGAGAGTTTTTGTTTTGCTTTTCAACATAAGAGAGAAAACAGCTGTTGGATAGTGATAGGAATGATCCAGTAGACAGGGAAACAGCAATTCAAGACAGAGAGTAGAAGGAGTAAAATCCTTAAGGTAGGCTTAAGAAATGGGATACAGGAGAGCAGTAGAGGAGTTGGTCTTAGATAAACGAAGGGGCAGTTCATCCACTGTAGTGGGAAGGAAGGCAGAATATGGGAGCACAGAAACACATGGAATGGAAGGTTTGGTAGTCGGAGAGAAATTTCCTTATTGATTGCTTTTATTTTCTTAGTGAAATAAGAAGCAGTGTTTTTAGCTAAGGCATAGTAAGATATTGGAAATTTAAGAACAGGGAAGGTATATGAAATGATTACTTACTTTGGAGAGTAGGAAAGCATAAACAGACTAGCAAAGTCTAGTAGAATTGCTAGCCAGATAGTTCTGTCATGTGGAACAACCGTGCAAGATACAGGACATCTGGCATCATTTGTCCCTGCCCATTGTATATCTGCAGCAGCATGTTCCTTTCTCCCCTATCATAGTGACAACCAAAAAGTACCATCACAGATTTCTAGAATGTTCTGTAGAGGATGGTACTGCACCCTTTAAGAACCTCTGCTCTACTCCAGTGACCCTTGCAGTCATAGATATGCAAGACACTCTTTTTGGTAAAAATAGCACCTAATTTATGCAGGATAAATTTGATAAGTACAGTGACAGATTGTGATCATAACAATACATAGCCTTTACTGTATGTCAAGCAAATCCTTTACATAAGTTAACTCATTTAATCCTTGTAACAACCCCCTGATAGGTACTATTATCTGAATAGTACCAAATGATAGTACCTAATAGTTCTACTGTAGCAGGTACTGTTATTACCCTTATTATATGAGGAAACTTGAGTCCCTGCTCTTAACCACTATATATAATATTTACATAATTGTGTTGGCATTTTCTTCAGTACTGTCTAATTACATAGTTTGGTCTTGCAGTTGCTTAGCCAGTTAAGGATTAAGAGTAGGAGTTAGCTGGGCATGGTGGCTTACACCTGTAATCCCAGCACTTTGGGAGGCTGAGGCAGGTAGATCATGAGGTCAGGAGTTCAAGACCAGCCTGGCTAAGAGGGCGAAACCCCATCTCTACTGAAAACACAAAAATTGGCTGGGCGTGGTGGTGCGCACCTGTAATCCCAGCTGCTCAGGAGGCTGAGGCAGATAATTGCTTAAACCCAGGAGGCAGAGGTTGCAGTGAGCCGAGATTGCACCACCGCACTCCAGCCTGGGCACCAGAGCAAGACTCTAAATAAAAAAATAAACAGTAGGAGTTAAAAGTTACTACATAACTGATAGAATGATTTCTTACTCTGTAGGTTTTTGCAATATATATTTGAATTAAATTTTCAAAATACTAGCCGGGTAAGGTGCCTCACACCTTTAATCTCAACACTTTTGGAGGCCAAACGGGGATTACTTGAGACTAGGATTTCAAGGCCAGCCTGGGCAGCATAGCAAACCCTATCTCTACAGAAAAATAAAATGAACAATTAGCTGGGCATGGTGGCGCACATCTGTAGTCCTAGCTACTTGGAAGCTGAGGTGGGAGGATCACTTGAGCCTGGTTCGAGGCTGCAGTGAGCTATTATCATGCACTGTAGCCTAGGCAATGGAGCAAGAACCCATCTCTAAACAAAACAAACGTAGCCTATTGTTAAACTTAAAAGATTGGATTCTTACAATCCTATCAAAGTTATATTCTGTACAAACATAGTTTTCTTGATTGTCAATGATACTCTACGTAAAGTTTTAAATGCATTAACCACAGTCAATACTCATAAGTTTAAGCTCACATGGAACTCTTATAGCGCATGAGCCTCAGTGACCACCTCATAGTCATTTACATGTATGTTGCATTAATAAATATATACTACTCTGTAAAATTTAATGAAAGAGATGCATTTTTATTTTTTTGAGACAGAATCTTGCGCTGTCACCTAGGCTGGAGTGTAGTGGCACGATCTCAGCTCACTGCAACCTCCGCTTCCCGGGTTCAAGCAATTCTCATACCTCAGCCACCTAAGTAGCTGGGATTACAGGCCTGTGTCACCATGCCCAGCTAATTTTTGTATTTTTTAGTAGAGACGGGGTTTCACCATGTTGGCCAGGCTGGTCTCAAACTCCTGGCCCCAAGTGATCTACCCACCTTGGCCTCCCAAAGTGCTGAGATGACAAGCATGAGCCACCGTGCCTGGCCTGAAAGAGATCTTTTAAATTGGGATGTAGAGCCATGATCTGTAGCCTAGTTCAGGTCCTCAGCTTATTTCACCCACCACTTAAGTATGACATTGCATTGGTCTCCTATTTAAAAGCAGAATTTTAAAACTCTTAAACCAAAGAAATTATTATTTAAATAAAGTGTTATAAAGAAATCCAGTATGTCAAATAGATAACAAAGGTAGTTTATCTGATTGGGGGTAGGATATGTCTGACCTTTACCCAGTTACTTAAATCTACTCATGGCTGCTCATGCAAAAGCTCCAGAGCAGCCCTGGATTAATCATTAAGGAAAATAAGCAGGAGCATAGGGGACTAAGGGAAATGCCACAGAGTTATTTGTCCTAGCTATAATCTTCTTAATTCGTTCACTGCCACACTTGACTTTAGTAGAATTTTTAGTAATGGTCTTTATCTGCCATGTTCAAATTTAATCTGCACTGTTGAAAAATCATTTTCTGTGGTATGGTGAGTGACAAAAGTTTAAAAGTTTCATTTTAAAGTGTCATCAGGTATTACATTTGTTTCTTTACACATGGTGTGAGTTTCAAAACCAGCTAGCTTGGTCTGGATAGCATTTGACTCATCAACTGATTTGTCTAAAGGACTCCTAAGCATTTTTTTAAAGCAGTGGTAGGGCCAGGAGGCACCATTGTTGGGCTGTGCAGAGGGTATCAGCTGGCCTAAATCCAGCTATGCTTGAGAAAGTGCAGTCTTAAAGTCCACTGGTACAATGG